TAAGAAATACCAAAACAAGCAGAGGTTTTATTCACTGAAGCTTCCCCACAAAATAAAGAAAAATTATAACTCACAGAACTCACAGACACAGAGAGGCAGGATAAAAGTCCAATAGTTTATTGGATACAGATAGGGGTCCTCCTTGAGAAGCGGAGAGTACCCCCCCCTCAAGGGCGGATACCAGACGCCCAAAAATAAAAAAACCCAAAAACAAAAAAACAACCCACCCAGGGCGGGCGGAGGGGGAATCAGGCAAGGAGGGCCAGGCACAGAAACAGAACAGGGTCCGAAACTCAAAACAACCCACTCAGGGTGGGCGAGGACAAGGAAAGTCTCAGGAGGCCGGCCGCAGGGCCGGAGGCAAGGCAGAGTCTCAGATGGGCGGCTGCGGGGCCGGAGGCAAAGCAGAGTCTCAGGTGGCCGGCCGCGGGGCCGAAAGCAAGGCAGAGTCTCTGGAGGCCGGAGTCTCCACAGCTGCAGGGACCTTGGAGGAGGACGCCACCTCCGCTTCAGCAGGAAGCTCCGAGGAGGACGCCGCCTCCGCTTCAGCAGGCAGCTCCGAGGAGGAAGCTGCCTCCGCTTCAGCAGGCAGCTCCGAGGAGGACGCCGCCTCCGCTTCTGCAGGAAGCACAGAGTGGGACGCCGCCTCCGCTTCTGCTGCTCTGCAACAGGCTCAGACAGGGCCGCCCACTGCGGCTCCGGATCAGGAATACAGGAGCCCGCAGATTGCGGCTCCGCATCAGGAACACAGGAGACCGCAGATTGCGGCTCCGCATTAGGAACACAGGAGACCGCAGATTGTGGCTCCGCATCAGGAACAGAGGAGGCCACCGACTGTGGCTCCACAGGAACACAGGAGACCACCGACTGTGGTTCCACAGGAACACAGGAGACCACCGACTGTGGCTCCACATCAGGAACAGAGGAAACCTCCGACCGTGGCTCCACATCAGGAACAGACGAAACCGCCGATTGCGGCTACGAATCAGGAACACCGGAAACCGCCGACTGCGGCTCCGAATCAGGAACACAGGAAACCGCCGACTGCGGCTCCGAATCAGGAAGACAGGAAACCGCCGATTGCGGCTCCGCATCAGGAACAGGGGAGGCCACCGACTGTGGCTCCACAGGAACACAGGAGGCCGCCGATTGTGGCTTCGGATCAGGAACAGAGGAAACCACCGACTGTAGCTCCAAATCAGGAACAGAGGAGACCACCGACCATGGCTCCACGTACAGGAACGAAGAGGAGACCACTGACTGTGGGTCCAAATCAGGAGTCTTAGGAAGACACTGAGCGGGCTCAGGGGTCTCCAGACGGCTCAGAGCGGGCTCAGGGGGCTCTAGACGGTCCAAAAGTTCCAGCCATCAACAGAACAAAACCGTCCAGGGTGGTTCCGTTGAATTAGTCCGTCGGTCATCAAACTCCCCCAGGAGTGCGTCGAATGAGTCTGCTGGGCTAGTCAGTTTGCCGGATTGTTCTGTCATGATCAGTCAGGATTTCTAGCCCAAACGCAGAACTCACAGACACAGAGAGGCAGGATAAAAGTCCAATAGTTTATTGGATACAGACAGGGATCCTCCTGGAGAAGCGGAGAGGACAAAGCAGGTTAGGTTCAGGTACAGGTTCACGGAGTCAGAACAGGCAGGATGGCTCAGGCTTGCTAACCACAACAGGGAACAACAATCCGGCTCAGAGAGAAGCTCTCCTTCAGCTTAAGTAAGGAGAGCTTAATGAGCAGATGGGGATCAGCTGCTTCAAATGAGCACCAGCTCTCAGGAGAGGATCCACGGCGCCCTCTGGTGGGCAAGCCTCTGGATCCCAACCGACAGCAGAACCCCTCAGAAAGGGATCCACATCGCCCTCTGGAGGGCAGACCTCTGGATCCCAACAGACAACAGAAGCCCACAGAAAGGGATCCACGTCGCCCTCTGGAGGGCAGACCTCTGGATCCCAACAGACAACAGAAGCCCACAGAAAGGGATTCACGTCGCCCTCTGGAGGGCAGACCTCTGGATCCCAACAGAAGCAGCAGAAAAACTAAATCTGACAAGAACCAGTGGTCTTCAGAAACCTGGAATATTTTCAATTCAGTTTATTTATATTGTGCCAATTCACAGCACATGTCATCTTAAGGCACTTTACAGTTCAACCAGATCATACAGTCAAATTGATTCAAAGTTTTCTATCTAAGCAAAACCAGTTTATTGCATTGACTCATTGACTGAAATACAATCCCTCACACTAAGCATGCTTGTAGCGACTGTGGAGAGGAAAAACTACCTTTTAACAAGACCTCCAGCAGAAACAGGCTGAGTGTTTTATTGTTTCCATAATGGTAGATTAACAATTATTACTTAAAGCTTGTGTTTTGTTAAGATCAATGTTACATCTTCTGGTGGCATAACTTTGGTCTTTGTTTGCTCTGACCAGTTAACTGTTTTTAAAAAGTTGTGTGACATAATGCATACAGCAGCTTTCTAAAGCAGCCTTCGCAGCATTCCTGCTCTTGCTGTGCAGACTTCAGTTCATATAATAACTTTACAGACCTGATGTATGACTCCTTAGAAACATTATTTGCCTGTCTTTGCCTTACCATGGGTTGATAAGGCAAAAAGATTTACCAAATGCCCTCATATAACACCACAAGCTTCTAAGGGAATGAATAGCAAAGACAAGACAGATAAGAAACTTAAATACAACATGAACTAATAAGGCAGGACTAAACTGAACATAGATCAACAACAGAGATACTGAAAACATAAAGACAAAAGAAAACCAAAACCCAAACATGTTTGATAACAAGAGTGAGTGAATACGTCACAGATTTCTGAATAATCTCCTCCACCTGAAATGAACCATGATAAGTGATGGTTAAGAAATACCAAAACAAGCAGAGGTTTTATTCACTGAAGCTTCCCCACAAAATAAAAAAATTATAGCAGATGTTTGTTTCCGCTCTTAAATGAAATAGTCATTAGTAAACATCAAAGACATTTACTTTGATGAAGTAATTTGTTTACTTTAAGGATCAGATTTTAAGGTTCAACACTGTCAAAAGGCCTGATGCAGGTCTCCATTGTGGCTTCAGTGAGCTGATGCTATCAGCAGCGGAAGACAGGCTGAGTCAATGAGGTGAGCAGAGGAGGGAGGTGGGGGGGGGTTCCACGGAAGGACTGCAACTCGTTGCTGAACGGGTTAAGAAAACAGGTAAGGTGGGTCACGTAGTCCTTTACATGTTGAACCATGAAGTCACAGCAGAAGCAAAAACAACCATAACCAAATAAAAATAATAATTCTGATAGTTGTTGTTATCTACAGTATTTCCATTTCAGCTGCAGAGAAGCAGCAAAAATAGTTATAGCAGCATAAGTATAGAGATAGCTCAGGATAACCTGAGCCACTCTAACTTTAAGCTTTATCAAAAAGGAAAGTTTTAAGCTTAGCCTTAAAAGTAGACAGGGTGTCTGCCTCACTGACCAAAACTGGTAGTTGGTTCCACCGGAGAGGAGCCTGATAACTAAAAGATCTGCCTCCCATTCTACTTTTAGAAATTCTATAAAACACTAATAAACCTGCAAATTGAGAGCGAAGTGCTCTGTTAGGAACATAAGGAACAATCAGATCTCTGATATAAGATGGAGCTTGGCCATTTAAGGCTTTATATGTGAGGAGGAGGATTTTAAATTCTATTCTTGATTTAACAGGAAGCCAATGAAGAGAAGCCAGGTTAGGGGAGATATAATCTCTCTTTTCATCAGAACTCTGGCTGCATCATTTTGGATCAGCTGAAGGCTTTTAATTACAGTTTCTGGACTTCTTGATAGTAAAGAATTACAATAGTCCAGCCTTGAAGTAACAAATACATGGACTAGTTTCTCAGCATCACCCCTGGACAGGATATTTCTAATTTTTGCGATATTCCTCAGATAAAGAAGGAAATTCTAGAAACCTCTTTATAGAAATTGAAATTACAGGTCCTGATCAAAAAGAACACCAAGATTTTTTACTTTATTATCTGAAATCAGTTTAATCCCATCCAAATGAAGTGACTGGCTAATCAGCTTCTTTTTCAAAGACTCTGGTCCAAAGACTATAATTTCTGTTTTGTCTGCATTCAGAAGGAGAAAGTTAAGAGTCATACAGGTTTGTATGTCTTCAGACATGCCTGTAATCTATGTAATGGGTTAGCTTCATCTGGATTTATAGACAGATATAGTTGAGTATCATCAGCATAACAATGATAATTAATCCCATGCTGTCTAATAATTCTAATGATTGGGAGCATATATGCTGAACTGTTCTTTTTAAATCCTGTTGATTATGTTGTTTCTATAAATAGAGCTTTATATAAACTCCCTCTACACATCAAATTATCCCAAGGACATTATTATATTCTGCTCTTCCTATTTCTTTGTATGAGGCACATTGATTAACTTAATATTCAACTGTGGCAGCAGTTCCTTGGATCCTTTCAGGTGTGTCTTTATCCAAATGGCAGCCAATGAGTAAAGCCTGGAGGGACTCACAGCCGGTCGGACCGGATTTGTGGCTTAAAATCATTCGGTAGCATGTTGACACGCCACATTTTCTCAGCAGATCACTATTGGATTGCATCTCAATCTTCTTACTTTCACAGTTTTCATCTATACCTTCAGACACTGATCAACATTAGCGCCAGACAGCAGAGGATGGGTTAGACTGAGGCTTTCAGACTTTCCTCCAGGAACAAAAAAAGAAAACCGTGTTTCCTTTCATGAGCTCTGAAAGACACGAGTGACTTTCTTTTTTCATGTATTGTGGTGATGCCATCAAGAAAGACCCAGGAGCTGCTCATAATGGTCATCCTGCTTGAGTTTACCAAGGGTGAGCAGACATCTGACTGCCTGAAGCTGTGCAGAAAAATGTTTACTGATTGGAACTTCTCTTTGTTTGTTTTGCATTTTCAAAACCACCGTTTCTTAAAATTGTTTAGCACATCAAGGTAAATAAAGTTTGTTTCTGGTTTTGAAAGATCTGAGATAACAACACTGGCCTAAAAACAGGGGTGTTCGTATAGTTTTGATAACATCATGAGAATCGTCTGACCTGATTGGATTCTATAGGCTGATCAGCGCTGCGATGGGTCATCCACCTGGTTAACAGCTGAGGTTATTGTTTCTGTCTTCAATACTTCATATCACCTGCATTGAGATGTTGGATTGTGTGAAGCAGAAGGCCATTCTTCTTATTCTTTGGTTCGAAAATTCGCTCCTGCTGCTATGAAATGTCAGGTAAACCTCCAGGCTCCAGGGCTCAACCTGTTGGGTTTGTCAGATGAAGCAAAGCAAGCTTGTGGTTTAGAGAAGCAGACACTGCCTTGTCTCTGACATTCTGATCAGATTCTGACTGCAGTGTTTGGGATAAACTGGAAAAATGCTTGTTCATTTAGCAAAACAGCCATTAGATCACACCGGATCTGATGGGTTGAATAGGCTGTGGGATTGCTGGAGAGTCAATAAGTCGATACAATCAGCTTGTTTTCCTTAGATAGAAACTTTAAGCAAATTCGACTGTATGATCTGGTTGAATTGTCTCTGTAAAGTGCCTTGAGATGAAATGTTTTTGTGAATCGGTGCTATATAAATAAACTGATTTGAATTTAATCATTAAAATACTTACAGTATGTGCACTTCAGTAAAGAAACATTCTCTCCTTCGGTCCCATTAAAATTCAGTTATTTAAGGTAAAAATGAGCAGGGTTAAGTTTACCTTCAGAGAGCACTTGAAGTAGGAAACTTTAAGATTTTTCTTTAAATTCAGATGTCAAATATTCAATCAGCTTGGATTGCTGCAGCTTAGTACAGATGTAAACTATTCAAAATTAGAATCTGCGCTTTCTGGTCGCTCACTGAATGGATGCCTGGAACTGGCAATTACATCAACTTCTAAGAAACTAATGAAGTAAGATATACTTTGAATCCCAGACTTCTTTGGACAGAATCTCTGCAGCTCAGAGCTATGTGCATGCAGTTTGTTTGTGTATTAAGGTTAGTTCTGAAAATCAGGTACATAATTGATTAAAACATTAACATTGATAAACACGAGTTCTACCAGTTTAGAAATGCTGCACATAGTGATAAACACAGCTGTATTTAACATCTGTTGACAAAATGGATTCATATCTGTACAAAGAAATGTTTTAACTTAACTACTGAAAAGGTTGAATAGCAGTTTCTGTAGATAGATGGAAGTTTAAACAACTGTATTGGTTTGGTCCATTTAAGTCAAAGCCTGACCCAATATTCAACGTTCAACATCCAAATTTATTTTAGTTTAGTTCAATTTAAGTAAATGAGTGGATATTTTAGTGCAGTTTATTAATTGTCTTGATTACAGATGTGAAGCTTTTTCATGAGGAATAAGATGTATCAGTTTTGACATTTTCTTTTTTTTACAATTTACTATGAAAGCAGTTTAGGGTTCAAATAAACAGAAACGAGGTTCAGAAAAGTTAAAATAAGAAAAAAGTTTTCATAAAGTCACTCTTCTGAACTTCTCCAGTATCTCCAAGAACAGTAGCATGGGGGCAAGGTTAAAGACGTTCTTTTTTAAAACTATTGACGTTTTTCGCATGAACTACTGAAGTTGTTTTAGATCCAAAACTGTTGTCAGGTTGATGACTGGTTCATGTAAAACAACTATCTCTGCAGATATTTGGATGCTGCCAGCTCCGGAGACAGTCTTCATGGACTCTGCAAACATGAGACACGTCTTGAGGTGGACACACCCGGAGGCTTCATGCAACACCACGGTCGTTTACTCTGTTCAGTACCAGGGGTAAGTAAATGCCTCCATGTCGGTGTCACTGTCTTGATTTGAATCATCATCATCATCATCATCATCATCATCATCATCATCATCATCATCATCATCATCATCACAAACAGATCCTTGATTTAACGTGTGGCTTTAGACACAAACTGAGTTTTTATGCAGCCAGACATCTTGGTAGATTGTACATATTTAATTTTTAATAATTAAAACTCCCTCTTTAGACCAACAGGATTAATCAAACTCAAAGGATGAAGGAATTTTTTATATTTCTGGTATCTTAGTGTTGAGCTGTTGAGGTGCTGATCTGACAAAGAGCTCCTCTAAAGTTTTAGGGACAGCATATGTATGTATATCAGGCAATAGTTGGTGTTGTTAAAATGTAATAATGCTGCTGATTATAAAACAGAGAAGTCATTGATCACTGTAAAAAATTAAAAAGTTTGTTTAAAATGAACATATATCTAAATTTGGAAATCAGGTTTTATACAAACTGACACAGTAAAAAGGAAAAAAAAAAAGCTGAAAAGAAATGTGAACAAATACATCCTGTTAATGTAAAGCAGTGAAAATCATGGTCTCTATAGATTCTAGGCTTCAGGTTACCTGCTCCTGACTCAAATCAAGCTTTTGGCAGCTGTTCTTCTTTTGGAAGAAGCTTAGACTTTTAGACACTGTTTGCTCATCTATGTCAGTTTAAACTGTAGAATAATAAAGCTATTTACATACATTTAGCATGCATAAATACCTTTTTGACTTTGCATGAGAGACTGAACAGCAGGAATCCAACACAACCAGCAGTGGAGCCAGTAGCATATTGGTGGAATAAGACATCAAAGCCACAAGTACAGTTTGAATCAATCAATTAGAGCCATATCCCGGAATAAAGAAAACAATATGTTGATTTAGAAAAATAATTGCAATACAAAAAAAATTAATTACAGTTGAAAATTATAATAAAGATAACACAGTAGTCCTGTGTTTGGACAAAAGTAGAACAACACCAAAAAAAACAAACAAAATTAGAATAATAAACCACAACCATAAAAAGGTACCAGAAACAAGTAAGATTTTCTGCAGAAAACGACAAACCCAATGTCACAGACCAAACTATACATGTCTCATATGGTGATGATATGTTGAATTTGAAGCTTAGTTAGAAACATAACCATATAAAAATAAAATATTTCAAGTTTTTATGACCATTTCTTAAAATTCTTAAGGTTCTACCGTGAACCTCCAGAAGCTGCTAGAGCTTAACTGTCTTACTGGCTACAAATCCAGGCTGCTGTACAGTCTGGGTGTTTTGCATCTGTTGTTCACACATGCAGATGGCTGAGAGACACCATGTGCAGGAAGCACACAGAGGACACGTAGTGAAATTATTTAAAAACTCTCTTGTCTCTGTAATGCAGTTTCAGAAATGTTTGTTTAGGTATGTACTCCAAACAGATCTACACCTTCAACAAATTAAAAAAAATATTCACTTCAGCAAAGTTTCTGTTTCTTTTCGACACCATTCTGATGTGAGAAAAATGATTATAAAATGGATTTCAGAATAACATCAAAAAATAGGAAAATGAAAAAGCCATTACAGAATCCTGTTTCTGCTGTTACTCATCTGACCAGAATAAAATCTACCAGATATAGACACGTAGTTCAGCCTTTCTGTTACTGTCTGTTACATTGTTTACTTTACAACTCTGAATTTTGCTTTTATTTAATTAATATTTAAAATTCCACTGCTCTGATTTTAGCTGCCATATCAGTAATGTAATATTACTTTTGGCTAGTCTTGAACCTGTTTTACCTGTGCTGTCTCAACCTGTAGACGGGTAAAATGATCAGTACTGCTTCAACTATCAATGATCCATGACTTCACTCTGCTGCTAAGGACAGTAAATACTGTTCGGCATTGATACACAGACAACGAATATTTCAACGAGTTGTACTTTTTATACATATCTAATCAAAACTTTACTAATGTAAGCATGTTCCACTCATTTCCAGCACCACCCTTAAATTATCTTTAGAGTTTTTTGTTTTTTTTCCCCTGGCTTTGTTGGCTGATCTGTGATGATCAGAGGCCCCTGCTTTGACTCCCCTGGCGTCCTCTTACCAGGCGATGCACTGAAGGGCGTTCAAATCTTCCTTCCAGGAGTTTCTAATGACCTCTGCATGATTGATTGAAAGTTTGTCTGGAGCGTTGATAGATGCCCACTTCACATTGTGGATCTGTCCTGATGAAGTGCCAGCAAAGTCGAAGGTTTTTTTTCTCTGCATCTAAGCTACAAACCAAGAATGGAACAACAAATTCCACTTACCTAGCCTGTGAGTTATCTTGGCTGTATATCAGAGATTTAATTAAAGTGTCGCCTTTCGAATGTCCAACAGCATTCCTCTGCTCACAGTAAACAAATTCACATGACATCAGCTTAAACATTAAAAAATGTTGAATCATTTTACAGATGGTTTAATAGAAGCTGGTGCAAAACATTTCAGATATAACAGAAAGTGACATATAGATTTTCTTCATGTTGCTCTTTTTTTTTTCAACCAAGTCTGTCACTTAGAAGATTATAAGGGTTATGAGGGTAAAGAAAGAGAGCAATGCCAAAGAAAGAAGGCTGCCTGGTTTATTTAGAGCAGGGATAATTTTTTCTGGAAAACGAATTACTTGTAATTTTTAACCACTTCGTTCCAAGGAAGTAACTCAACATTCACATCTGATTCACACTTATAACGTGATGATCTAGTTCAGCGGTCACCAACCTTTCTACAGTTGAGGGCTAATTCAGGGGTACTGAGTCACAGGAAGGGCTACCAATACTGACCTATGAATTGCAAGGGTCAATGTTCACCTAAACTTTATAGATTATATACAGTTAGGGCCAGAAATATTTGGACAGTGACACAAGTTTTGTTATTTTAGCTGTTTACAAAAACATGTTCAGAAATACAATTATAAATATAATATGGGCTGAAAGTGCACACTCCCAGCTGCAATATGAGAGTTTCCACATCCAAATCGGAGACAGGGTTTAGGAATCATAGCTCTGTAATGCATAGCCTCCTCTTTTTCAAGGGACCAAAAGTAATTGGACAATGGACTCTAAGGGCTGCAATTAACTCAGAAGGCGTCTCCCTCGTTAACCTGTAATCAATTAAGTAGTTAAAAGGTCTGGGGTTGATTCCAGGTGTGTGGTTTTGCATTTGGAAGCTGTTGCTGTGACCAGACAACATGCGGTCAAAGGAACTCACAATTGAGGTGAAGCAGAACATCCTGAGGCTGAAAAAAAAGAACAAATCCATCAGAGAGATAGCAGACATGCTTGGAGTAGCAAAATCAACAGTCGGGTACATTCTGAGAAAAAAGGAATTCACTGGTGAGCTTGGGAACTCAAAAAGGCCTGGGCGTCCACGGAAGACAACGGCGGTGGATGATCGCCGCATACTCTCTTTGGTGAAGAAGAACCCGTTCACAACATCAACCGAAGTCCAGAACACCCTCAGGGAAGTAGGTGTATCCGTCTCTAAGTCAACAGTAAAGAGAAGACTCCATGAAAGTAAATACATAGGGTTCACATCTAGATGCAAACCATTCATCAATTCCAAAAATAGACAGGCCAGAGTTAAATTTGCCGAAAAACACCTCAAGAAGCCAGCCCAGTTCTGGAAAAGTATTATATGGACAGATGAGACAAAGATCAACCTGTTCCAGAATGATGGGAAGAAAAAAGTTTGGAGAAGAAAGGGAACGGCACATGATCCAAGGCACACCACATTCTCTGTAAAACATGGTGGAGGCAACGTGATGGCATGGGCATGCATGGCTTTCAATGGCACTGGGTCACTTGTGTTTATTGATGACATAACAGCAGACAAGAGTAGCCGGATGAATTCTGAAGTGTACCGGGATATAATTTCAGCCCAGATTCAACCAAATGCTGCAAAGTTGATCGGACGGCGCTTCACAGTACAGATGGACAATGACCCCAAGCATACAGCCAAAGCTACCCAGGAGTTCATGAGTGCAAAAAAGTGGAACATTCTGCAATGGCCAAGTCAATCACCAGATCTTAACCCAATTGAGCATGCATTTCACTTGCTCAAATCCAGACTTCAGACGGAAAGACCCACAAACAAGCAAGACCTGAAGATTGCGGCTGTAAAGGCCTGGCAAAGCATTAAGAAGGAGGAAACCCAGCGTTTGGTGATGTCCATGGGTTCCAGACTTAAGGCAGTGATTGCCTCCAAAGGATTCGCAACAAAATATTGAAAAAAAAATATTTTGTTTGGGTTATGTTCATTTGTCCAATTACTTTTGAGCTCCTAAAATGTGGAGTGTTTGTAAAGAAATGTGTACAATTCCTACATTTTCTATCAGATATTTTTGTTCAACACTTTAAATTAAACGTTACAATCTGCACTTGAATTCTGTTGTAAAGGTTTCATTTCAAATCCAATGCGGTGGCATGCAGAGCCCAACTCGCGAAAAATTTGTTACTGTCCAAATATTTCTGGCCCTAACTGTACATATCTTTTTCGTATCTTGAAATTTCTAATTTTATTTTAGACATTTTCATTTTTGAAATCTCTATAAATGCTTAAATGCCATATATGATTAATGATGAAATGTTCTATAACTGATTAAAAAAAGAAGAGCAACAGAATACAGTGAAATTTCAAACGTAGCTCACTGTTGAGTTGTTCTATTTTCAGAAGACTTTAAGGGCACCCATGGTGGTCCTTGAGGGCCCCTTGGTGCCCGCGGGCACCATGTTGGTGACCCCTGATCTAGTTGAACCAATACAAAGTCACACCAAGTAGCTTTACGAAAAAAACAAATCTAATATTCAAGAAGTTTTTCTGCGTTAAAGGAGAATAAAAGAAACAGACTAAAAAGTATAAAAAATGATACTCATAGTTTGGCTCTTCTGGCTTCTTTAGAGACAGAATATCCTGATAATTGGTTTGTAAACCAATTATCAGCTGTCATCAGAAACACTGAAGTTCTGTTTTTGATTTATTGTAATTTGAGTTTTTCAGAACATGTGTTTTTTTGATATCATAAATTTAGTGGACATTTTTCAGTTACCAGGGATTCTGCCAAGGCTATGACTCTATGCAATTAGCATTATTATGTAACAATAATAATTATAATTATTATAAACAATATTACATTAAAAGTTACAAAGAATAAAAAATGGCAAAAGAACACATACCTAAAACCGAAGAAAATTAAATTAAAAGAAAGGAAACTAAAAAAGGAAAGGAAATCAAAAGAAATAACAATTAAAATATTAGAGTTAAAATAAGGAAAAAGTTGAAATAAAAACTTAAACAGTAAAAAGAAGAAAAGTTAAAAGCAACTGTTTGTTTTATAAATAGAAGTAAATTAGATCAGAACATGATCCTGATTTACATTAGATTCGGTCCAGACATTTTTCTAAATTACTTAACATGAATGGAACCCGTTTATCTATTAAAGTACAAAGAGATCAGCATTTGTTGCGAACAAATAAACACAACATTTTAGAATAATTGGCTTTCAGAAAATATCATATAATTCATATAATCCTCCTTGTATTATAAGTTATTCACCCTTTTGAACCAATGCTGGGAGTCAGCGGGTCCAGTCCTTATGTGATGGGCTTTATGCTTTTATCTCAAACAAGATGTTTGAGCTTCTCCAATTCTGAGTCCTCTTGAAAGGCTGGTTTAAAATAGGAAACTACAAAAGACAAAAACCTGAGAGGAAAATAATAAAATAAACAGGTGGTACCAGCCAAGATGGGTGAAAACTGAGACATTAGTTATAAATAGGTGCCCTTTTCACAACTCCACATTTTTATTTATCCATAAATAAAAAGAAAAAGATGTTTTGAGCTCCAATGAAAGCCCATATCAGAATAAAAAATGTATTGTCATTTTTTTATGCACAGTGTGTACACAAAATGAAATTTCCTTTAGTATAGCTCTCCAGACAGTAAATGAACATTTCCATTCAATTCAATTCAGTTTATTTATATAGCGCCAAATCACAACACATGTCATCTCAAGACCTTTTACAGTTCACCAGATCATTCAGTCAAATTGATTCAAAGTTTTCTATCTAAGGAAAACCAGGTGATTGCATTGACTCATTGACTCGAATGCAAACCCTCACACTCAGCATGCTTGTAGCGACAGTGGAGAGGAAAAACTCCCTTTTAACTACAGCAGAACTAGACTCAGTGTGAGCGGCCATCTGCCGAGGCTGATTGGGGTTTAAGCAGACAGAATCAGAGATACAAAAGGCAAATGTAAAAGGCGGCCGTGTCCAGGAAACACACAGACAGGCAGACGAGCTCAGAGCCAAGTCGCATGTCAGAGGATGAAGAGAGCACATCCATCCAGTCACAGTCAGAGAAGTAGGACTACACTGGAAAAGCAGGCTGATCTCCTACATCTATAAACAAGGGTGTTGATGGCAGCAGCACAGCTGATATTTCTCTCCAGGATGGAGTCACAGCCAAACAGGAACAGACTAGGCAAAGCTACTATGTGAAAAAGCAGAGAAAGCGTAACGTTAGAGACTGAACTAACAGATACTGCAGAGTGGGAGAATATTTCATAAAAATTATAAAAATACGGGTCCCTATGTCCTACAGAAGTCTAAGCCTATAGCAGCATAACTATAGAGATAGCTCAGGATAACCTGAGCCACTCTAACTATAGGCTTTATCAAAAAGTTTTTAACCCTACCCCTAAAAGTAGACAGGGTGTCTACCTCACAGACTAGTTGGTTTCACAGGAGAGGAGTCTGATACCTTAAAGATCTGCCTCCCAATCTACTTTTAGAAATTCTAGGAACCACTAGTAAACCTGCAGATTGAGAGCGAAGTGCTCTTTTAGAAACATAAGGAACAATCAGATCTCTGATTGTTCTGATGTGATGGAGCTTTGCCATTTAAGGCTTTATATGTGAGAAGGTGGATTTTAATTCCATATTAGCTATATCCATTCCATAAAGTGCAGCATTGATCACTTAAACAGCGTGGGAGAAAAAATAAATAAAAAGGCATGGTGCAAAGGTTGTTAATGTCTTTAACAGGCATTTACAGGATTTATCTGAATCGACTGTTTTCATGCAGACAAACCTGGTTGTTGAGGAACTCCATATGAAACAAACATGAAGTGAAAGTAAACCATGTTCATGCAAAATAATGTGTTTGAAAAGATGTTCAAATGGGAGGGATATTTACTTGATAAAGGTGATGGAACACCTAAATCTCACTTTCAGAAAAACAGATAAATCAGCTAAAAATTCATCAAAGAAACAACATGATGTTTCTGGAGAGTAGAAGCTCGGCTGTGTTTATGTTTTTGTGTTACTTCATATTCCAATAAACCAACCTAACAGGTTAGACAGACTCCTGAAAGAGGAGTCAAAACCTCCTCCTCCTCCTTTTTCTCAAAGCCCCGGATTTATCAACACCTGGGAGCCATTAACATGTCTGACTAACAGCAGGAGGAATGCAGACAAACAGCTGTTAAATTATGTTCATCATGACATTGAGACAAACAAAAACATTTCTGATGAATAGAGCAGGAGGATAAGGGTAGGGGTGAACATACATATTCTGATCTACAGATATGTTAAACTCCAAATCTGCCACTTCTGATAGAAAACATCATTAATCATGATCCTTGGCTCAGAACATCATAATAGAGCTCTTCAATTCAATTCAGTTTATTTATATAGCGCCAAATTCACAACACAAGTCATCTCAAGGCACTTTACAGTTCAACCAGATCATACAGTCAAATTGATTCAAAGTTTTCTATCTAAGGAAAACCAGTTTATTGCATTGACTCATTGACTAAAATACAATCCCTGACACTAAGCATTGTTGTAGTGACAGTGGAG